TCAGAGTAAATTTTTTGCAAATTCTTTTCTAACATACTTGTAAATTTACAAAATCATAACTCGGGATGCTACTGTGAAAACTTATCTGTACATAAAATCCGTTTCCTTTACACTAGGTCTAACTACTAGGTTAGACATAAAGAAAACAGAATATCAAACAAGCATGCAATACTGGACCCAAGTCACATTAGGGGACCAGGTAAAACTGGTAAACTGAAATACTGGTATGCAAGTTCGAAACTGAAACGTCCGCGAAAGTAAATACGTGGCAAAATATATATACAGACTGAATGTATATAAACCCACAAAACGGCAACTGGCCGACTCAAGACCACAACTACCAAGCAGAGCTAACACCTCCGGCCTGACCCTGTCATCTGAAAAGGAAAAATAGTGGGACGTGAGCACGAAAGGACATTGTGCTCCGCAGAAACCCAGAATAAAGTAAAAAGCAATAATAATAACCATATCATGACCTTCGGTCTATATATATATATATATATATATAACCGAACTGAAACTGAAATCATACTAACTCCAAGACACTGTGTTCGGTAACCACGTGCACACTCTGATGGCATATTGAGGCATCTGGCCTCCACAAGAACTTAGGATGGCATATTAAGGCATTTGGCCTCCACCCTAAGCAGATAATATATATACATACCTCAGACATGGTATCTGTATTACACTCAATGTAATGCCCAGGCTGGGTTCCCATTTGTATCATTCGTTCTGAAAATGTAAGTGCTGACTGGAACGGCTGTCTGCTCAAACTGAAAAATACATAAATAAATAAATACTAAGTGCTATGCTCAGATATATCAATCAGATGCTATGATGCTCGATTCTAACAACTAACTTATCAGGACTAAATGAAACTCTCTAAGGGTTCGAAAAAACTTATATTAAATCTGGAATTAACTGTTATAGCTAAACTGGACTGACTTGGCTCGGAAAAATATTTAAGTTTCCAAATAAAACTCAGACCGAAATGTACAAGCCAAGAAATACTAAAACCACAGGTCGAACCTGCCGGTTCGCTGACTGGCCGGACCGCCGGCTCACAGTGGCCGGGCGATCGGCTGCTAACTCCAGCTGATCGGGCTCGGTCCCGCGCAGTGCCTGCTGGTGCCCTAGCGTTGTTCTGGGCACTGTTGGGTGCGACCTGGGCGCTGGCGGGCGTTGCTGGCGCCAGCACGGCGCATCTGGTGCGTACCAGGTGCTACTGGGCACCTCTGATGGCAACAGTAAACCTACCGTTATCTCAAGTGGCAGCCCTGCTGCTACTGCTATCTCGCCTTCCTCCTGCCTGGTCGATCAACCCGAAGAGAAAGTCACCAGTCATCCTCCTTCTCCACCCACCGAACATGCTCGTCGATTGATTGGTCAAGACGATGAGGGCGAGGATGATCCTGAATATAATATCCCCTAGTCTGCCCGCGATCCTAAGGACTTTGTCCCTTTGTCTTCTCGCCTTCCCCTTCCTTCGACCATTTCTCTTTCCTCCAAAAACTCCCAACCATCCTCTTCGTCCAGTACCACTCGGCTCAACTTCGACCTAATCAGTCATCCTGGGGCCTTTCATACCCCCAGTGATGACGATACTTACGATAACCCTCTATCAAACGCTTACACCTTCTTCTGCGCTCGCTTCGACCTATGTTTGCGTTTTCCCATCTGCCAAGCTCTGCTCGACCTATGCGGCATGTACGGGTTAGCCCTGAATCAGCTTCCTCCCAATGCATTTAGAATCTTAACCACCTTCATCGTCTTGTGCATGGTCCGCATGGGTCAAGTAGACCTAGACTTTTTTGTCTATTTCTACCTGGCCTACAAACAGTCTGACGGCCTGTACTTGAAAAGTCGAAACAACACCCACTTTATTGCTGATCGACCATCTAATGTCCCCCAATGGAAAGATCAGTTTGTATATATCACCCCCAGACAACCTTACCCATGGGCGCCCACTCCTTGGCTTAAGGAGGTACCTATCAAGCGTGGTACCCCTCCTTCAAACCCCATTTTCGACCGTCGTATACTTGTGTGGAACTTGAACCCTGTTTTTTCCTCTTTCTTGCTTCAAGACGACAACCTTCTCCATCACTATGGCATCCTCACCCATAAACCCCTTTCTTCTCCTCTCACTGAAACCCTCCTTGCAATACGCGTCGACCAGAACCATGCAGAAGTCAGCTTGAACGTTAGAGCAGGTGCTCGAGACGACATTTGTCGTATTTTTTGTCTGGTGTTGTCAGCTTATGTTTTTACTAACCTGTATTCCATTTGTGCAGAGGGATTTTTATCTAAGCCAAACTTCAAGAAATCCGCCGACAAAGGGTCCATGAGCAAGAGCTCCTCTGATGTAGCTGATAAGTCCAAGTGTACCTCTTCGACCAAAGAGGCCTCTCCTCGCCCTGAGAAATCTGGGGTCTCTTCGGGCTCGCAGAAACAAAGGGCTCCGTCCCCTCCTCCAAAACATGTCGACCGCTCTACTCACCCGTCGACCATGGAGACTGAGGTCTCCAAGAAACGCCCCTGCTCCGAAGTTTCCATTCCTTCATCTCCACACCAAAACATTGATCCTCCGCAATCCCCCAACAAGCGCTCTCAACTTGAGGTTAAGTCTGCCGGAAGCCAACTCGTGCAACTGCCTTCTCGCGCTCCCTCTCTGGCAGGGACGGGTCCACGCGAGGCTATATGTCACCTCATTTGTCTCTTTCCTTTCAAGGACACTCATCGATGGGCTTCTAACCGCCAAGCCCAAGGTGAATATGCTGCTTGTGCGTTGATTCAGGTATGGTCATCTATCATTTCCTACCCATAACTTTTCCCACATCGGTATATTTTAATATGTGTTGTGTATGTAGACGGTGGTTTCGGTCGCTCCCTCTCCTCGAAGAAACTTTAAACATCTCTGGTAGTCCTCTTCCAGTGGTCGAGGGCGACAACAGACGACTTGAAACTGAAAACCAGCGTCTCAAGGCCGAGAATGAGGGCCTGCGCAAGTCCCAACACGAGCTGGCTGTGCAGGTGAAGAAAGACAACGAAGAAGTTCGTCGTCTCAAGGACGAGCTGCGGAGAAAGGCCAAGGTCCTTGAGGTGGAAAGAACAAACATGAAGAAAGAGGTCAAAGCTACTACCGTTGCTGCGGTGAGGCAATCCCAACGGGTGTTGTAGGGGTCTCAACTAGGCCAGGGCTTCCTGAAGGCCTATCGGGATCAACTGATCGAAGATTATCTCCGGTCGACAGCCTTCCTCAACGAGGCCCTCGGGTATGGGGATGGACTTCTATAAGTACAGTATGGAAGAGGTCGAGAAGCAACTGGTAGAGCAAGGGTTCACGGGTGAGCTGAACCATGAGAAGACATGGGATGCCATTTCTTCCGTGCCATCGACCTTCGAGGGTGATCCTAGCCTCCCTACCGATCACCCCTGGTGGATGGGATCATTGGAACGAGCTTTAGCTCGGGATAAAAATATGCAATATTACTTTGATTTCCCAAGGGCTGGCGAAGCTCCAGTGGTCCGTCTCCCAGGCAGCACGTCCTCTCAACCATCGACCACCAGCACCCCTTCGTCCTTATCTGGCCCTTCTGCCTTGGTTGCGGCTCAGTCCTCTATTGGGCCTTCGTTGGCTATGACTGCGCAGCTGACCAGTGCTACTGTCACCTGCTCTACAATGGTTGCGCAGTCCACAGGTCTTGGTGCCTCGTCCTCTGCCATGGCCTTACAATCGACCACGACTGTCCTCTCCTCCTTGACTATCGCGGCCCAGTCGACCGCGTCTGTTACCTCGTCCACTGCCGCGGCCCAATCGACCGCGGCTGCTCAGTCGACTCCTATGCCTCCGAAATGATGATATTTTAATTTGACCAATGTACTTTTCGTTTTAGTGATTTATTTTTATGCTTCAACTTTGTACTCTTTATGATCTTGTATTTTTGAGTATGTTGAATGAAATCTTATTTTTCTTTTCCTTGCGATGTGTGATGCTTCATTCTTCAACTCTTTATGTATTTCTCTAATGTGCTCGGCTCCCTTCTGAAATTAAACATAAACCAGTGGATAATGTAATTTGTCAAGAGATATTTCCCTACTCTTCATAAAACGTGATTGAGAACGAATTTCCCGCTTTTGGCGAGTATAAATGAGCCTTTGGATCCTGTCCGACTTTAAATCCCATATAAATCAAGAAAGCAGTGGCAATCATCAATCCGCCCACTAAAATCTTTGGTGAACATCACGTCTTCATGACCATTCATAGGGATTAAAGGTAAACCACTTGCCCACGACCACATGTTGGTCGTTCAGCCTGGAGGCGTGGATGTTGTCAACCACTTGCCCATCCCACGGTTGGAATGTTCCGAAGACAAGCGACCTTCGCCTACCCCTATGTCGGGGTGTTCCGAAAATGAAGGATTTTGTCTTCTCACTTGCCCACTCCAAGGGATGTTCTGAAAACATTGTGGCCATCCAGCCCGGAGGCGTAGACGTTGTCGACCACATGCCCACCCCTTTGAATGTTCCGAAGACAAGCGACCTTCGCCCACCCCTTGGTCGGGGTGTTCCGAAAATGAAGGGCTTTGGTCTTGACACTTGCCCACCCCAGGGGATGTACCAAAAGCATGGTGGTCGTCCATTCCGAAGGCATGGACTTTTTCGACCACCTGCCCACCTCAGGGAGTGTTCGTAACAAGCGACCTTCGCCCACCCCTTGAACTGGATGTTCCAAAAACGAAAGGCTTTGGTCTTGACACTTTCCCATCCCAAGTTATGTACCAAAAGCATGATGGTCGTTCAACCCAGAGACATGGACTTTTTCGACCACCTGCCCACCCCAGGGAGTGTTCAAAACAAGCGACCTTCGCCCACCCCTTGAACGAGATGTTCCAAAAATGAAGGCCTTTGGTCTTGACACTTTTCTACCCCAAGGGATGTGCCAAAAGCATGGTGGTCGTCCACCCCAGAGGCATGGACTTTTTCAACCACCTGGCCACCCAAGGGAGTTTTCAAAAAAAGCGACCTTTGCCCACCCCTTGAACGGGATGTTCCAGAAACGAAGGGCTTTGGTCTTGACCCTTGCCCACCCCAAGGGTTGTGCCAAAAGCATGGTGGTCATCCAGCTCGGTGGCATGGACTTTTTCGACCACCTGCCCACCTCAGGGAGTGTTCGAAACAAGTGACCTTCGCCCACCCCTTGTACGGGATGTTCCAAAAACGAAGGGCTTTGGTCTTGACACTTGCCCACCCCAAGGATGTACCAAAAGCATGGTGGTCGTCCAGCCCGGAGGCATGGATTTTTTTGACCACCTGCCCACCCAAGGGAGCGTTCGAAACAATCGACCTTCGCCCACCCCTTGAACGGGATGTTCCAAAAATGAAGGGCTTTGGTCTTGACACTTTCCCACCCCAAAGGATGTGCCAAAAGCATGGTGGTCGTCCATCCCGGAGGCATGGACTTTTTCAACCACCTGCCCACCCCAAGGAGTGTTTGAAACAAGCGACCTTCGCCCACCCCTTGAACGGAATGTTCCAAAAACGAAGGGCTTTGGTCTTGACACTTGCCCACCCCAAGGGATGTGCCAAAAGCATGGTGGTCGTCCAGCTCAGAGGCATGGACTTTTTCGACCACCTACCCAACCCAAGGGATGTGCCAAAAGCATGGTGGTCGTCCAGCCCAGAGGCATGGACTTTTTCAACCACTTGGCCACCCTAGGGAGTGTTCGAAACAAGCGACCTTTGCCCACCCCTTGAACGGGATGTTCTATAAACGAAGGGCTTTGGTCTTGACCCTTGCCCATCCCAAGGGTTGTGCCAAAAGCATTGTGGTCGTCCAGCCCAGAGGCATGGTTATTTTCGACCAGCTGCCCACCCTAGGGAGTGTTCGAAACAAGCAACCTTCTCCCACTCCTTGAACGGGATATTCCAAAAATGAAGGGCTTTGGTCTTGACACTTGCCCACCCCAAGGGATGTACCAAAAGCATGGTGGTCGTCCAGCCCGGAGGCATGGAGTTTTCGACCACCTGCCCACCATAGGGAGTGTTCGAAATAAGCAACCTTCGCCCACCCCTTAAACGGGATGTTCCAAAAATGAAAGGTTTTTCTCTTGACACTTTCCCACCCCAAGGGATGTGCCAAAAGCATGGTGGTCGTCCAGCCCAGAGGCATGGACTTTTTTGACCACCTGTCCACCCCAGGGAGTGTTCGAAACAAGCGACCTTCGCCTACCCCTTGAACGGGATGTTCGACACCCGGAACCCCATCTTGGTGGCAAACTCTAAATAATCTCCTTTGGGCGAGATAAGGACAATGCCTAATCCTGTTCCATTCCTCGACACCGAGCCGCCCGCGAACAATTGCCACACCCTTTCTACTTGCTCCTCCAACTTCGTTCCTTCTTAGATAAAGTCCGCTAAAACTTGTGCCTTGATCGCTCTCCTTGGCTCATATGTGATGGAATACTCACTGAGCTCGGCCGCCCACTTCACTAATCGCCCCGACACCGAGGGTTGACCAAGGGTCTGCTCCATGGGCATGTTCGTCCGCACTCTTACCTTATGGTTAAGGAAATAGTGTAACACCCCGCTATGTCGTAGATATAAGAGTTAAATTTTTGCAAAACCTTTTAATAAAAATTCCTGATTAGTTTGCGAAATCATGTTTCGGAGTGCTACCGTAACAATAACTTTACCTGGAAACCGTTATTTCAATTTTTAAAGAAAAACGGTTTATCATAATATAAACAACCCGATTAAACATCGGATCAAAAGCCTAAGTTTGACAAACAGTGAAATCAGCGGAAACGTAGCGTGGAAAAATGTTTAAACTCCACTACGGGAGATAGTAACAGCACTGCTATGCGAAATTCAAACATGTAAACACAATCCTGAACTGCCCGCCAGCTCATGCCTCTGGTCCGACTCTGTGACCTGAAAAACATATATAAACATGGGGCGTGAGTACTAAAGTACATTGTGCTCCGTAGGAACTCGTACTAAAGTAAACAGTGAAATAATAACAATATCATGATCCTGGCATATATAAACTGAACTGAAACCGGTACTGAATAAGCATGAACTGATAATCATCAACTGACTGATATATGAACATGTGCCAGCATAAAATGCCGGACACCCTGTGTACACTCTAGTGGGCAGACTAAGGCCACTAGAACCCAGAATGGACCGGCGACCAAGCGGATACTGACTGATAATACATACCTCAAACATGGTAGAGTAATTATAATCAATGTAATACCCAGTCTG